GATGAGCTGTTAGTGATCTGGGTTGTCGTCGATGCTTGCTATTTTCGTTATGCGGGGGAACGGGATATGAAGGAGGAGAAGACGACTATATAGGGTGTTGATAATGCGTTTGAACAACGAGGACGCCATAGAGGCGAAGGTACATTGACTGACAGCCCATGAGAAATATGGAGACTGAGGACCGAGGACTTCAATAAGGGGTAGCTACATGGCCTGATGACCGTGAGAAAAAGTGAAGAATGAGGGGTTGGGAGATGGGTTGCGGTATGTAGTGAAGAGAGAGGGAGAGTCGAGAGTAAAAGAGAATGAGGGGCGGGGGAACGGTCTCTTATACCCTGACGGACCATCGGGCATTAGACTATAGTCACGTCATCGCCGGTTTGCAGTTAACACTCAGTGCACCACCTAGACATCAGATCCGCGCCGATGGTCTGCCAGGCTCAGCATCGAGGCCCACGTCAAGACACCGTTCGAGCCAACGTGAGAGCAGCGACTCCTGAACGAACCTCGGTAGCAAAGCAACAGGGTACTAATTTATTGCTGGGTGAGACGGAAGCCGCTCAAATGCAAGGCTTGATGCTTGCATTGAAGGCTACCGATCGACACATCGAGAGCGTGCAGCACGAATTGGGAGGGAGAGGTCGGAAAGAAGAGGACGATGTTGCGGTGATGCTGACCAGAGAGAGAAAGATAATGCCGTTTTGCAGCGCGAAGCCCTGGCAGACCCTTGCATGATGCTCTCCTGCAGCAGACAGCCGGCCTGGAGGGCCACACTCACCGAAGGCAACCCTTGCAACACCGATCACCCTCCTTCTCCCACATCCCACCAGATCGCAGATGATATGCTGGCAATCGTCCTGGCCTGCGGTTAAGCCTCGCAAATCGGATGGATCACGACAGAGCACAGACCTGGCAGCGCAGACTTACAAGGAAGATGAGAAGAGGACAAAGGTTGGCGAAAATACTGGCTGACGTTAAACAGGTCGAACACGGTCAGCTAGACAGAAACAACACTCGGTGCGTCGCATGCGGGGCGACTCTAGACAGTTGCGTTACTAGAGCCGCAGGAGTCCCATGCTGCCCATCGTATTTCGGCCAAACGCGAGGACAGGCATGGCGACACCCTCGGCGCATCGAAGGCAACCTTTCATGAACCCACTCGATCGGTGCGCGTGGGACTGGCTGAGCATGATCTTGCCACAGGACGCACCGATCGATCTTGTCTACGGTGTCGGAGGAGTTCAAAATAAATGTGGTCCATCAGGCATTGCCACCTAAACGTCATATTCACGATGCATAGACCCAGATGTAGTTAGCTTTCGCTCTACTAGGAATGACGGTTTCGCTTTTTCTAAGTATATTCTTTCTTCCTGGAACATCGTAATGTTTTTTTCAAGGCAGGCACCCGAATCATGCGGACGCCGGTCTGACGACGCAGACATTCTAGCGTCCAATGGGCGGCCGAGTCAGTAGTCGCAGGCTTGTGCCATCCGTCACCCTAAGTTCTATCCCATAGCTGCAGAATGCAGACACCCACAGATACGCGTTGCTGCGAATGACGTAAAACCCCGATGGACATGCGGTCATCCATAATCTGTAGCAGAGAGTATGCTCGTGTTGATGAGCTAGTAAGCAGTGCAAAAGGGTGAGGCCAACGTGCACGTGCAGCGTTAGTACATCGGTGGTGAAATATGTGCACCTAGTCTATTAACTGTTTTACGTGTAGTGGCGGACGGAAATCATATTTGCACTGGTAAGGAGTATGTGTCGGGGCCCACTAAAAATCCTCGGGCTCACTCGAGCTCTGTTCCCAGAACTGAGGAGACTCGCTCATGCAGGACGGCAGGAATAATTCCGGACACTGCAGTGGAATTTTGCCTTCAAGCTCCGAGTACGTTCTCCAACGTCCCGCCTTGAGTACCATTGCAGTATAAAATAAGCCTCGGATATGAGAGTAGAGAAGCTGTCAGTAGCTATTTGAGATGTAGCGTTCTTATTAATGATTCGTCAATTTTAGAAACTCGGTTCTCATTGTGATCACTCGCAGCATGCACCGCATGGCGGATCACTCGGTTCCTCGCACCATGACAAATTCGTAAAAACACGGTGCATTAACAGCCGGAAGAGGCTTCTGTGATTTAACAAGTGGATGTAGCGGGGAATGTATTCCGGTTCTGCAACTACCCAGTCTAACTGCGGCCCCGGAGCAACCGGGTTGTGGGAGCAACCGGGTTGTGGGAGCAACCGGGTTGGGGCTAGGGTTAGGGTTGGTGTCGAAGAACCCGCAACCAGGCCGCTGAGTGCGGACAGGAGTAAATTGTTGAACCTCACGGAATGATCTCCGGACCACCCGGAGAATGAATTTAGACACAGGTGTATGTAAGCTACATTTGTGTCAAGGCATCTGTCCGCCGGATCGTTGAACCTGCGGTAACAGAGCATAAGGTACTTAGTCGTCCGTATGGCACAGATGCGTTGATAGTTCCCCTAGCGCCAGCTCAGCAGCAACCTCTCCGATGTTCTGGTACCACACCCGTGAGAAATAGCGGGATTACCTAATATTAGGGACGAAAGCTCCCATTCGTGATGCTAGTTTTTGTAGTGAACTGTGGTCTTCATGCAAGCGGATCGCACAACGCAGTAGCATTCTACGAAGTGATATGGCCCTTCGAAGTTTTTTGTAATGGAATAGACCTCGCATTTGTCCAAACGACTTTTCCTTCAGCGCATCGCCACTTGACACCTTGGTGCTGGCGAGGGCTGATACATCCGGAGAATACCAAAGTTTGGAACGCGTTCTCTCCATGTTTGGAGAAATCCTCTTCAGTCTCTAGCACCTCCTCTGCTTCCTATTACTCGTCATCATGCCTATCTTGATTCCCGGCCCCGTCTCGTCGGTAACGAAATGATATTTCCCAGGCGAATACAGCGCTGTAGTGAAAACATAGCAATACGAGGATGGAAAGACTTGATTTTTATCCTACTTTCTGCAGCAGTAGATCATCTATATACACATACTATCTAAACTCACTGGCGACTAACAGAGCCCAGGGCAACCAAATATATCCAGTTCTGTCCACATTACATCGTGAGGGGCATCTCTTGACCGTCAGCCTGGCAACAAAAGGGACAGCCGTTACGTGTCTCATTGGCAGCGCGAGGAAAGTTCGTAGGCGGATGCAGTACTGCATCCATGGCAGCTAGAGGGCAGTTCTGAGTTACATCACCTGCTGAGTCCATAGCAGCAGGAGGGGCATCTCCCAAGCAGCGATAGGGGAATCTTCAAGGCCAATCTAGTGCTAGGTCCCTGACAGCGAATGCAGTAGTGAGTCCCTGGCAGTCAGAGGGCAATTCCCAGGCCAATACAACCGATGGCAGCGAGAAGGCACCTGTTAGCCGAATGCAGTGCTGTATTCATGGTACCTAGGGGGTAATTGCAAGGCGCGTCGTAGGATGACAGGGCATACGGGCGGTGTCCGCTGACGACAGAGCATATGGAGCGGAGGTAGAGGCGTCAGGAGAAGTAGTGGTAGACGTTATACGGTAGGGTGAGTGGATGGAGAAGATGACGAGCGACAAGAAGCAGTATCTGGGATTCTGGGGAAAAACTAGTGTCAGCGGTGGTTCCAGCCGCGCAGTCATCACAGCGCCTGAAGACGTAGCCAGACAAGGTATTCGCGGTCAGACGGGCGCAACGCGCAGACTATCTCCGCGGTAGAACGAGCAGGGCAGAGAGACACGATAGGTGCGGGGCGAGCGGGGAGGCGGGGAGGCGGGGCACGCGGGGCACGCGGGGCGAGCACCGGCAGAGGGAGGACGCATTCGTTGTCCTACCAGCGGCGTATCAGTTCGTTCTATACTTTATCCAACTCGTTGGGTGACGTTAGCATGGGCGGTACAAAGCTGAACAGCCAACTATCCTAAGGTGGCGAGAAACCTGTTCATCTCTCACATATCGTATTACAGCACGACGAGGACCTCGACGAGTTCAGGGCGCTGATGAGATGTGGTCACCGATAGGTTGAGGGGAAACGGAAGCGTTAACGGCAGGGAGAAGTTGAAGGCAGCGTCGATTTGAGACACCACGTCGAGAGCGGGAATGGTTTAGGGAGCACGTCAAGGGCAAGGAATATTCAAGGAACGGAGGGTTGAGGCTCCGGATACGTGGCGGGAGTGGCGTAGTCAAGGCCGCGGCAGAGCCGACGCAGCGGGCGTCGTGTATGAACTGACATGGCGGATATTGCATTACGTATGATGTATTCCACCTGCAAGCAATGCATGGAATGTTCCAACTTCCCTGCTGATGTAATGCCCACGGAAGATCAAATAGGGTAGGGCGAAAAGCCTTCCTACCGTTCTTTACGGTATCATCACACTAATAGTAGACGTCGTAGCCCTACGACAATACGCCATCAATTACGGACTTAAAGTGGAGGATTTATCTTTGCTGACGAGTAATTCTAACTCAGTAATTCAGCGCGACGCTGACGGCTATTCACACAGAGTATGAGCATTCGTCCTGGGATAGTGAAATATCGAATGTGCGGGACCGTTATGTCATTCCGTCATGTCCTTTGAGCCACATTCAGCTGGGTTTCTGTTACGTACACCGGGAGAGTCGAAGTAAGAAGGAGTAGCGACTATCGGTGTTGTTGTCGGGTTCTCAAACCCGGGTATCTAGTGCTTTAGCTAATGGACAATGAGGATACAGGCGTTGCTGAGACAGGACGAAGGTTGTATCACAGCGCCGCCTCCCTTTCTAACCGCTTCTTGATCTCGACCTTTGATTCCTTGTGAAGTGCCTCCTTAACTCTGCCCGCCTCCGCCTCCTCCTCCGCCTCCCGCTCCCTCTGCCTCGCCCTCACCAACCGATTCACCTACTCGTCCTCGTCGTCCAAATCACGCCCCTCGCGGATCCGGGCCGCGCGTTAGTGCTGCAAGATGCAGTTCTGCAGGCGGGCCTCGTTCACACGAAACTCTCACTGCTCCAGAGTCTCGTCCTCCTTGCGCCTCGGCAAGGAGGTGAGGGGCTTGACCTTGATCTTGGCTCCCTTGTGCACCTCTACCAACGGGCCGTTCCCGAAATGCCTTCCACAACAGTGGTGTTGTTCCGATTGCCGGCCGTGATCAGAGGCGCGGCGGCGGCTGCAGACGCATCCTCTATGAAGCGTACGATATCACAATCAAGCTTGGGAGTCTCCAGAAATCTCCGCTCTGCATCTTGCTCAGCCAGCAACGACTTCAAGGCCGGAGCGGGAGGGGTATCTACAGCTTCTGTGGATGTTAGCGTGCCCCACGTTTGTTTGAAAAGGCTGCTACATACCGTGGTCCGTCATACCTTTCGGCTTCGGGGCGTTCCTTGTACCCTGTGGTGATGCCATGATGCGCGGCTTTGAAAACGGTATTTAGAAGAAAGAAGGAGGTCAAGGCGTGTAGTAGTGTTGTGACGAGTGCAGGAAGAAGTCAAAAGGATGTCTGAGTCTGGTGTGGCGTGGTGAAGACAGAAGGAACAGGAGAGAAGGAAGAAGGAAAGCTACTGGTTTACTCTCCGTTGTTGCGAGAAACGCCACTTCTTAAGTAAGTACTTACCCCATCATCGAAAATCGTTTCATGAGATCTTATTCGACCTCCAAGGCAGAACTATACTAGAAAGAAATCACTGGTTTTTCCATGTCACGCGCGAGAGAAAAGAAGCACATATTGCCAGTCCCAAAAACGCATCTTTATCTTACCCTCGCACCCCATCTATCCCCTGCCATCCAACTCTCCCTCCCGTCTGGACTATCCCCTCCCTTCCAAGCATCCAAGATCTCTCCATCCTTCACGTTGATCAACCTCGAAAAGCATCACGAGGACGCTTACCCGACGAGCTTGACGCTCGCGCACAGGAAGCAGCGAGGACAAAAGCACTTTTTGCCGTCGGGAGTCTTCTCGCCGGAGTAAAGGACACAGCTCCTGTGGATGCAGCTGTGACTCCAGAAGCAGGGTAACGTTTCGATTCGTGGGGTTAGATAGGGTTATAATCTTGGGCTAGGTATTTGCTGTTTGACCCGTGTGAAAACTAGGTGGAATCCAATATAGAAGGTCACCAGTCTGGACAAGTTAGGCAGGTTTGGGAGCGTCATCAGCATTAAGATCGTCTTCAATGTATCCGTTTTGTCGCCATCGGCCTTGCGTGAGCCGCGCGACGGATTATAACAGTTGTCAAGAATCTTCCTGGACGGAAAACACCCCCGCGTCGCCTAGTGGTCACGCACACGGTGCAGTCAGAGTAAAAACCGGTTCCCCTATCGGGGTTTCCAAGCGACACACCAGTGGTGATGAAGGTTTTTGGTTCGTCCCAGGGTGCTCTTTTTGTTTTTTTTCCTCAGTAAGTTCCTGCGACGTGGGCAGATCATGGCAATTCCTTCTAGGCCCCGGCGCCGCTCATCACTCCGTCAAGCGATGGCACATGAAGAGGATTATCACGAGATCTTCACCGTGTTTTCTACCTGGGCTACCTCCTCGCCCACTAGGAGTACAGCAGCTGTAGCTACTGCAGCCTATCGTCTCCTTCTAACTTTACATCTACACCTTAGACGTCGCAGGTCGGCTCACAGGTGCCGGCACTGTGTAATCACGGAAGACCCAGCCAGCGCAGACGAAGAAACCCCACCCAGCACCTATTTAATCACCACAACCCCACAGATCAGTGTATTATCCATGTCCCAGAAAGTGCAAAGCTAATTCTCTACACTCGTGAGTAGTACGGATACAGCTGAGGCCCGTATTTGAGCTTAATAGTCCGTGGAGTTGGCAGGCAATCTCTCCGGGTCCCCTCTCTCTCTTCCGCCACCCTTTCATAGATAGGCTGACATGAGAGGCAGTGAGTTAGACGGGTTCATGCTGGGGAGAAACGCTTTGAGATGGGTGGCAAGAGGTTTCATCAGCTACCAGGGAAGGTAGAAGAACCGGGTCAAGACAGAAGTGTTGTCACTTTCTTATCATATCTCCGTACAATTTCTGTCATATATCTCTTCCTTATTTCCCTATTTTTCCCATTGTCACTGGCACTGTCCATGTCTCTTGATACGATCGGCGGTCTCGTTATCCGAAACTCGTACCGCGCCCCTCCGCTGGAGCGGTTTTAGCAGTAGGGACGGAACGAGTAGTTAATACCTAGTCTGTCCGAATACTAGACGTTCGAAGATGACGATGTCCCTAGCGCGTTCTGGCGGGGTATCCGAGCACGGAAGACCAACCTTCAGAAGGGATCGATGAGAGATTTTCTACTCTCAGGGCGTTCAGCCCTTCAAACCTCATCAATAATAAGGTGACCTCCAACTGTTGATAGTGCGCCAGTCCGAACGGATCTAAATAGCGGGCTCGCATTTGCGGGTGCAAGACCGCAATGTTAGAAGGATGCGTGGTGGATATCACTGGAACGATGGAGACGGGGTTAAGTGATGTATTGTAGTTTAGGCGCAACCGCTGCGAAAGACAGAGATACAGAAAAATTAACAGAACATCGACCAGCTACCGCACCGAGTTTTTTTCCCGCAGGTCCTCCGACTGGCTAGTGGACTACTCACAGGAACAGACTCGTTCTCACACCCATGGCCTCTCAGCCTCATTCAACTTTTGCGATGACTATCGCAACATCGTCGAGCCCCGCGGGGCTATGCGGTAGTCCGAGTAATCGCCGTTCTCGCTTTCGTCGTCGCGTCCAGTCAGCGTTGCGGTCTTATTAGGGTTGAAATTCCCGAGAGTATTTACCTTGCATTTGATTTCCTTTGCATAGTAGTCCACAGTCTTTTGGCCGGAGATCTTCTCAAAATCGAACTGCCAAACCAGGAATTTTCCATCCTGGCTCTTGGAGGTATACGCATCAACGACCTTGTAAAGGCCGTTGTAGCGGTATCCAGTCTCCGGCCTCAACGGGTTCTTGCACTCGCGAATTCCGCGTATAGGATTTCCCGTCTGGAAGCTCTCGTGCAGGCCAGCATTGCCACGGACGACATATTGGTCCTTACTCTGCGTGGCCGTGCGCAAGTTCTTCCGTTTTAAGTCGCGGCCACCCGCACCGGTGTACGTAAATTTGTCACCATCATCGAGATCCTCCGGGTATCCGGCGGATAGGACAACAGAGTACGCCCCAAAGATTCCGCCGACTAGAGGAGGATGGAATCCGGCCACAAATTGCCGGTGCGATGTTTCGCACCGACAAAACACCCTGCGGGGCAATGTGGCATCGCGAAACATCACACGGGGCCAATGCCACTTTTTGCGGCTGCTTGGCCGTGCGAATAATCGCAATTTTGTAGAGCCGCTTTCCGGCAGATGACGCTAGTTCATGACAGGAGCGGGATCCAGCGAAGCTGGATCCAGGGCAACACTGTCGCTGCCGTGCTGGTGAAGATTTGCATTGGGAGAGGGATTTCAAACTCTCTCGGCATGCTACCTTCACCATTGCCCCCTTAGGGGTCCAAAAGCCTTATAAGTAATTAGTATCCACTCGTGATCCTCTGTGATTGGTTAGGGTAGAAACATTTTCCAGTGTCTTCGAGGCTTTAGACACTCCAAATGTCGAGGACGAAGAGCGGTAACTATAGTGACGTTCCGGGTGCAGAGGTTGAGTGGAGGTGACCCGAATGTCGACTGGAATAGAGATGGAGTGAGGTGGAGGTGAAGTAGATATTGAGTGGAGTGGAGATGGAATGACGTGGTGGTTTAGCAGTGGAGGTCGTGGAAGGGCATTTTATAAAGAAATATTCAGCATTGCCAAGCCTAAATTGGCCAACGTAGTTTTTCCATACCCTAGGGTTTTATTGTCTGGATTTAACCCTAACCGGGTCATATTACTATTGTTTAGAGTTGAATCTTAGAGCCGCTAGTTGGTGGTTTCCGGTGATAGTGCTTTTTACCACATGATGCTTCTAATACACATGACTTTCGCCGCTGCTTGCTTGCTTGGCAATTTGTACTCACACATCCTGCAGACTCATCCGCAGCAACAAGGTTCTAGAATACGAAAGGACGGTTAGTACTGAAGGCAAAAAGGTTTCATTCAACAACACGCGATTGTACTGGTATCCTCACTATCAACTTTCGCGGTATTCCATAGTTTGTGATACCGTCAGGAATTGATAGCTCCACCTCATAGAGTTCAACAATGTGCACTGTTAGGCCAGCCTATTGTCTCCTGCGACATCCTCCAGTGATAGCGGTCCGTTGTCAGTGTACTTTCAGGGCGCAGCGAACACCACTACAATGTGATACTTTTAAGTTTTCTTCAATTCATTGACTACGATGCTTTTATTCGCCTCCCATCCGTGGCTGTCTCACAACCCTAACCAGCTCCTCTCCTCGCTGTCACCTAACATTCTCGCAGGCAATCGAATGCTCGACGAGTGGGCCAACCTGGCGACGGGATCTCTGGACGAACAAGGAGTGGAATGGCTATTCTGCAATAAACTCTGGCGGCCTTTCTCGTTACCTAGACAACATGTCCACCTCTTCCGCAAGATTGTGAAGACGTAGTCGGAAGCCGCGGAGTAGTAGGCATAGTAAATATCACCGACGACTGCGAAAGAGAGGAGATACCACACGTAATACCAGATTGAGAGGAGCAACAACCCGGCTCCGGCGATAGCTTACTTTGACCCCCAGGCACTCACCTCAAGGACATGCCTTGCATCAGCAAGACAAGTGATGCGGGCTGCAGGTACTGCCACGACTCTCCTCGAGTAAGAAAGACGAGCACTCGACATGTGCTGCAGCGATTGGAAGGCACCGTAGATGCAACTATGGGCGGAAGAGGAAACGATTACCCGCATGGGGCGGGACTTCTGGCGAAGAGCAGACTTCTTTTCCGATGACGGGATCGCCAGAGCAATCCTTAGGTTCCTCCGAGACACGGACATCGGTAGAAGGATACCCGGGGAAAGGGAGAACAGTTCGCCACCAAGCGAGGTGTCGGGGGTGGGCTGGGTGTACAGAGGCGAGGAGTAGCAATCCAGGTCGAGGTGCAAGGGAAGAAGAGGAGCAGCGGGCGCCAGTGGCGCAAATTTGGTTCGCATTCTTTTGTGGCGTCCAATGACTAGTGTACGTCTCTCTCGCGAGCAGGGGACGGCGCCGGTTAGCTTGTATCGCGGCGGTGACTCTCCTCAGTGGTATCGTCGTGATGTGCGTAGGTCCATAGGTACGTCAATCGAAAGATTCCCCCCTACCGTCGCTCGCAATCTCACTGCGGTAAATACAAGGCCGCGTGAAGGCTATTGAAAGACCTACAAGAAGTCTAGGTAGTTTATTTGGTGGATGCTGACCGCTTTCAACACCATCAATCGCCACGCACATGATGTGCTAGCCGAATGCCATGTTGAGAGTGTCGGAGGTAATCACGCCTGCACAAACGACCCTCACCTTCCAAGTGCTATTGACGTCGAGAAGTAGTTGAGGCTCTGCTACTCTTATAAAATGTTCGCCCACAACCATCCTTTCCTCCTTCCTACTCCATACCTCCTGCCACCATCGCAATCCAGACAGCAACAATCCCCCAAGCTTTCTTCATTTTCCCTACTACTTTTATCCCACATTGACGATGATGGACATGTGCTATTATGCACTGATCGGTGCTCCGCAATCCCCCAAGCTTTCTTCATTTTCCCTACTACTTTTATCCCACATTGACGATGATGGACATGTGCTATTATGCACTGATCGGTGCTCCGCACTATGCT